AATATTGCTCCTTGTGGATTTTGTGTATGGTCTTTCTCCTAGAGAAGATGTGCCACACTATCCAGAAAAAAAAACAAAAAAAACATGTAGAGTAGCTAAGATGTGTGTTAGCCAATATGTATGAATTTAGTTGCCAGCTGCTAGGAAGATTACTATACAGCAAAAAAAAAGATATTACAATAATATAGTCAAGGAATGAAAGTTCCAGAATGGAGACTGGGTATGGCTTTGGTACATTCCAGCAGCATGGAAACAGTTTAGTTCTGGCAGAACAGTTTCTTTCCTCATATTCAAACAGATCAGTCCCTTAACATATGGAGTATAGTGGTTACATGGCATGCATAAGTGCATGGATTATGTCAGTAGATTACTGATGAGCCTCACATATATGTGCTTGGCCAGGAATCAGAAGTCAAGAATGATGAGTCACAGGACAATGGGGGCACTGTTCCATGCTATCTCAGCTCAACTAATGAGGAGGAAGAGGATGAAAGAACTACTCTAACTGTGCAATATGGGTCAGATGAGGAAGTGCTTGGAGAAGAAGTGCCATATAGCTCTAGTAGTTGGCCAAGATTAAGACAATCATCTCCTGATTGTCACAGCTGGGATAAACTACCAAACCATCAGTTAGGACAGCCTCTGGTTGTAAGATCAATGACTGAAAGAAGATAGATCAAAGTTCCGTCGAAACATGTAGTTTGTTCCACCATCAATAAAATCCTTCGCTATGCTTTTAAATCATTGTTTGCCAACCTACTATTATATTAGCGTAATATGCTTTCTTACTTAATGAATGAAAGGAACCTATAGATATATATTCCTGTCTTTATGTAACCTACTTGTACCTGATGATAACATAAGCTTGTCGAAACATTGTACATTTGTAACATAGTTTCCTTCACTACCAACTTAAACCATCTCCAAACTTTATTTATGGATATATATGTACATATTCGTAAACTTGTATATTTATTTATTTCTGTAAAGGTTTCTGTCATGTTGCTTTTTAAGATGGAAATATTCTGAAGAGTTTATTTCATATGATGTTACTTTAGTTAAAAACGATATTTTATTTTTTATA